AGAGCAATGTTTTAGTCCGTATAAAACGAGCCGGAGTGGCTTACTGATGAACCTGAGTTTTTGTTTTAATGATGAGGACTTTGATAGGAGTTTTTTTTAGATCTTTTTCGAGCGAAGCGCATTTTAACTTAATACAACACCTAAGTGCCTTGCTTTTTAATATAAATTGAATCTCACCGGGGTGTAATAATGGCTCTATATGGACACATTTCACCAATAAGTAATAGTTTTTCTTTACAACAATGGAAACAGTCAATATAGACAAGTGAAATAAAATAGAATGTAAATTACAGCCATGTTACTTCGATCAGATCAAGAATACCATGGAAATCACGGAGTCTTTCACGAAAGTGTTTTTTTTTTATAGTACAAACAACAACTTAAATTTCTTTTGTTAATTCATTTCATTTCCGTCTTTTGAAATATTCACAATATTTTCTAACGGATATTTTCTTCAAGCGTAGTATAGCATCCACATGTAATGATTTCATCTAGCGATAAGCTAACTTAAGAAAAAAACCGATGAACATCAAGAATATGCTAAGAGGTAAATTCCAACTGCGCATGCCTGCATCTGAATCGATTTGTAGGTACTAGGTGGATATATGAGCTTTTTCCAATTACAAACTCATTTTACATGGCACCTGCTAAGTCTTTGCGGTAGGTTACGATGCCGAAGGTCAAAGGCCAGCAAATCAAACAAGCCTCACTTTGTAGCAGCCATAAAAAGAAAGTAAAAGCGCAAGCTTGAAATCCACAGGAAACTACGCAAGAGCAGTGATGTGTTGTCTATTTTTAGCACTTAGTATACATCACTCATGACGTTCTGAGAGCGCACGCACACCCATATCAGAAAAGATAGAAACTGTATCCAGGTGCGCACCGGAAAAAAGATAAATCAAGTAAGACGAGAAACTCCGTTATAGAACTCAAGGAAAAAAAAAACAGAAGTTAAAAAGGGGCCTGGTAGTCGAAACAGTGGAGTTAACCATTGTAACCCCACTTTAGTTTTAGATATCTTAAACCAAAACCACTGTTTTTGCGAAAGCGGTAACTGCTGCCTGATCGAAGAATACGGTCCTAAGACTGGGTAAGAGAGATAATTTCACCAAAATGATACAAACGGAAATTTTATCAAGTAACCCGCGTAAAAACTATTTGTGAAACGTAAGGTTGATTTAGCCTGAGGGCGGTTTTCCCAGTTCAAAGGAGGGGCAATGCCTTGCAGAGAAGTCGCGAAGAGACGAATGAGACTACGAGAAATTGGCCGCTCTTTTGCCGGGCTATTAGTTATAAATTAATGTAGCCGATATCACTCACTATTCTTTTTGGTTCTTATCGCGAGGTAAGAGCACTTCTGGATCAGTCGGATTTGCTGTAGTCGCCTCCTTCCAAACCGTCCCCCCCCCCCCCCCCCCCCCCCCCCCCCCCCCCCCCCACCCGCCAAATCTCTACCCCCAGGATGGCACCCCCGACACCACCACGCCTCCACCCCCCCACAGGGGAAAAAAAAAGAGTCTAGCACAACCGTTCCACGTGTTTTATTGGTGTGGGTTTCGTGTTGTGTCTTTCCCTCTATTTGTAGTGTCTGCACTTCCTCTTTTTTTTTTTTTTTTTGTGGGGGGATAGAAGTCTTTTGGTTGTGGCGGTTTTTTTTGTTCCCCCCTCTCCACAACCCCCCCCCCCCCCCCCCCCTCCCACCACTCATCCCCAGGCTAGACTCGGAACATTTGAGACCCGAGGATGGCCGCCCGTAACGCAAACGGCGCTCGATCCCAAACGAGGGAAAAATAGAGGACTGTGCAACCTCGTTCCCAGGGTTCCCTCCTACCCGTCCCTACGGAGCGAGAGAGAACCTGGGAACGAGGTTGGGGCTGTGAACAGTCTGGGCAATAGGCCAGGATAGTAGCGTAGCTTTGAGGTCGTCAGTGTGAGAATTCAGTAATTGGGAACAGTCATGCTTACGAAGACATATAGCCGGTCGTCGTTTCTCTTACACTCTTTCTTTGAAATATATGAAATGAAACATATTAATTTATTTTTGAACTGCGGATAAAGATATGAAAGTGAACATGATCCTCGTAGTTGAATGCCGAAAAAAAAAATTCCCGATCTAGCGTTAATTTTTTCAACCACCTAGGTTGTCATTTCAGTGCGAGGATCATCAGTGTTCACTTTCGAAATCATAGTAGGTGTACAGGGTGTTTCAAAAGTTCGTTCCGATTTTTTATTCGCTTAAATTTCACAAATTATTATAAAATACCTTTTCTAAAACTTACTAGATGTTATTCATTATTCATTTAACATTGAATAACTAAAATATTAGTAACCAGAATGTCTTCCCGTATGTTTTCTGACAATTTCTAAGCGGTGAGGTATGAAATGTACGAGCTCCCGAAGCGTGTCCAAAGTCACATTCTTCCAGGCGAAGCGTAGTCACTGTCTTAGCTCATCCAGTGTTTTGGGGGCTGGATCTTTGTATGTTGTCTCGTCTACGATAATCCAGATGGTCTCTAGGGGGTTCACATCACGTGAGTTTGCCGGCCAGTCCTCCTTTGGTATAAAGTTGGCAAATCCTTCTGACGCCATGCTTGCATGAAGTGTGCACCGCTTTTTTCTCTTCAAGGCTTTCCAACTTTTTTTGGTAACTTATCCCCATACTGTCGTGCTCGAAACTTTGATCGATAATGTGAAGTTGAAATTTTTTTACCTTTCTGTTTTGTGGAATTATTACGCATATACTTACAGCTTTTTCGATAATATTTCTCGCACATTTTGTGAAAAACCGCCATCCACTCATGCTTGGTTTGTTTTCTAAGGTCCTTACTTTTGACCACTTGTTCGGTCATCGTTCAGACCTCTTCAACAATTTGGCTTTTTTTTTTCGACTGAATGGCCAGAAGACCATAAAAATAGATGCCTGAGCTCTAGCACTGAACAGTGTAGGCCTTCATTTTCATGATGAAGGAATAGAGAAAATAAAAGAAAACGATAAAAATACCAAAATAGAAAACAAACAAAATGGCAGGAAAAGTATGGCGGGAAAAACCTCGCGTACGTGTACAATTCGGGCAAAAATTT